ATTCCAGGACCGTCTATCCCAGGAATGCCAAGTTCCCACTGGCTTTCACCCGACGCTGTCGTAGGTGAGACGGCCGCATGGAAATGAGGACCCGTGTGCCGCATACCTGAGCCAGTACCTGCCTCTCCTCCAGGGCCGTGGCCGAGCCCTCCTGATTTCGCTGCCAGCCTGGGGGATCTGTAAGCCCAGCGACGCCGCGTCTCGGCCTCCCCTCCCGTGTGGGGACAGGAGAGGTGGGCTTCCAGGGGTTGGGCAGATGAATGCCTGAATGAAGCCGACTTGTGACTGTGCCCAGCTCCAAGGCCTCCCCGGGTGTTAGATGTCAGTAAATGACATTGTGTGTGTGTGGATCTCATGTGATGAGAGAAACAGTGGGGGAAACTAAAGCTTCAGGAGTCTGCAGGTGCTGGACTTGGGGATGTGTGCACCTGTGTACTTGGTGAGGGGCGTGAGGTCTGGAATGAGTGTGCACGTGTGTCACGTTTGTGCGTGTGTGGTGAGTGTATTTAGCAGGTGTGTGTGGAGTGAGCGGTTTTATGCGCAGCTGTGTATGTTGGAGGGTGTGTGGAGGTGTACACGATCACATTTGGTGAGTGTATTTGAGGGTGTGTATGGAGTGCATAGAGGCGTTTGCGTGTATAGTATCGGTAGAAGGGGTGGCATGTGTGGGAGGGGGCATGCACACGTTGTGCTGTGTGTGGGGTTTCCTACCTGCTCCTCCCCCGAGCCTGCCCTGGGCCCCTGGGCTGGTCCTGGCAGCTTTACAGCTGTGTGTCTTTGATTCCGAAGATTCTGGAACCCGATTCTGGAAGCTGTGATCGCAAACTTGCAGCCCTGGGGGACGCTGGCCCGTGGAGCCGGCACGAGGATCTCTGTGCGGGCCTCTCCTGCTGGCTCCTCTGTCCACAGCAGAGCGTGTCCGATGATTGAACTGTGGTATCTGTGGCTCTAGCCTCGAGTCAGCCTCGGTCCTGGTCCCGCCTCTGTTTTTGAATGAGGGCCCAAAGTGGTGCCTGGGATGACGCTTTCACCCTGGGTTGCTTCGCCTGCTGCCCAGGTGCTGGCTGCCTGAGCCCTGCTGCCGTCCTGGGTGGACGGGGCTGGCGCGGGGACATCCCTGAGCACCTGCGGGAAGGCAGGTTTAGGAAGTGCCAGAGGTGAGGGGCTTCCTCCCAGGCTTGATTTTCTGGAAAGTTCTGGGCCTCATATTTTTCCCTAAGGGAAGTTAGAAACTGAGTTTCTCTTTAGGGGAACGTCTTTGCAGCGTCTGTTGTTAGAATGTTCTCCAGGTGTGGAATACCCGGGGCCGTGTGTGTTTGGGAACCTCCGTGTCCTGAGCGAATTCAGTAGGGGATGGAGAGAGGCCTCCCTCCTGTCAGCTTGGCCTCTGTTTCCAGCTTGTGAGTTGTGAGGGTTGGCGGCTGCTGGCATCCCAGGGAGAGTCAAACACTGGGTGGCGTGGGATGGGAACGTTCGCTCTGACAAGGTCAGTGGGAAAGCGTCTAAGCAAACGTCGCTGTTCTCCGGGCTCCTCGGGGTCGAGCTTGTTTGGTGGTGGTGAGGGAACGCTACCCTTGCTCCTGTTCCTCGCCATCTGAATGGTGTCCAGGGCTTGTTCCGCCGGAGAGGTGATGCGCGTAGAATGGGGGTCAGGTCGCAGGCTCCGAGGTTGTTTGGAATCTGTCAACGGACTTCCTAAACACACAGGTGCTTGGTAAAGAGATGTTCCTGATTGGCTAAAACATCTCAACAGGACGTGATAGCTGGTGGTGGTTTCAAGACTACCACAATTTTCCTGTTCCTTTTTCAATGCCTGTTGGATAGGGGAGGATTGGCATACTTTTCTTTTCCTGTCTGCGTACTTGACACTTTGTTTATTTGTGTGCTTATGTGGGTGTGCAGTTGACAGGATTTCGAAGCGGTCTCAGCCCTGGGGAGGCTTCAGGGCAGCCTCCGTCAGCGCTGAAGGGAGGCAGGGATTTGGGGGCTACCTCCTCCACAGGACGGACACCAAGGGCCAGAGGTCAGCAATCTCAGTGAGGTCACACAGACGGGCACACCCAGCACCCTGGCCCCTGTGCCTCTCCTTCACGTTTGTCTCTGCTCCAAGCTGCTCTCCTGGGTCATCACGGGCGATCTCTAGGCGCGTGCTTGGTTCTTGCAGAAGTGGTGTCTGGCTGTGGTCAGTGTGGGCTCTCAGGACTTCCATGTTTTTGGCTCCCATCAATATTGGGCAGTGTGGTGTATGTTTGTTTTGGAGTGGTAGATCCGGGTGGATTTTGGCTTTGCCAACTCATTTAATACCTGTTTCTCCTGTTTCTGTATCGGGTGTTCTCTGGTTAGAAGGGGGATGACGGTGTGGTGGAACGGCTTCTGGCTGTTGAGCCCCTGCTGAGAGCTGTTTGGCGTGCACACATCCGTTTCGGCACAATCTCATGAGCAGCCCTGGGCAGTGCAGAAAGCGAGGCCCAGGTGAGGCTGTCGGACCCAGGAGGGCCCTGACCTGTGTGCTTTCAGCCTCTGAGCCGCCCCTCTCCTGACTGCTTACCAAGCTGTATCGATACTGCAATCTGAGCATTGAAAAGTCACCAGGGGAATGCCGTTTCCGGGGATCTTACTGTGAACCTTCTGTTAAAGGTTGGATGTCGAATAATGACTTGCCTTTGAATGCAGGTACCAAACGGGCTCCCTGGGATAACTCATTCCATAGAAACGTTTTAAAGTAATGCTCCCAACTAGCTATCCTTTACATGCTTTCTACTAAGAGGTGCTCTGCTCTCCTGTGCGCTTTAGTGATATGCCGTGTTTGCTTTGCATGCACTTGGGTTTTCAGAAGAAAACCGTGTTTGCAGGTACACTTGGAGCACGACATTCTTCTTCCTGTTAGTGTAGATGCTCCATGAGAGGAGATAATGCTCATGCATTTCTGTGTGTTTTGTGGGGAATAAAAGTAGCCGCCGGCTCTAGCAAACCTAGAAGATGCCCAAAAGGTGATACACGTGAAAATATGCGGCCACTGCCATAAACCGCCTTGTATTATGTGTGGCAAAGTGCTGTGTGTGCGCTGTCTATGGAGAAAATGAGTCTTCCCTATTTTCCCAAGAGGTAACACTTGAATAGACTTCAGAAGTTGTCTTATCTGCAAACGGTACCCTCCTTCCATTGTTTTGAGACGTTGTCATAGGAACTCACACATGTCATTGTTTTCTCAGTTAGAACCTCCAGGGTTTGTCATAGTCCCTGTGTGTCATCGCAGCGTCTGGCTCCACTTGATTTAAAGCAGGAAGAGGCCAGCCACGTGGCCTCGCTGGTGCTTCCCAAGCACAGGGTCTCATGAGGGCGGGAGCACTTGGTTGGGAGACGTGCTGTTCTTCCTGATAGAAACCCTGTGGTGCCGTTCGCTAGTCTCCTGCGGCGTTTCTTCCACCCTACATGCAGCCAGTTTCTGTTGGTTTTTAGTTTATTTATATTTTCCGAGACAGGGTCTTGCTCTGTCACCCAGGCTGGCATGCGGTGGCGTGATCCCTGGCTCAGGCGATCCTCCCCGCTCAGTCACCCGAGCAGCTGGGACCTGGGGCGCGCACCAGCATGCCTGGCTAATTTTTCTTTTCTTTGTTGCAGGGATGGGGGGGTCTTGTTGTGTTGCCCAGGTGTGGCTCTGTTTTCTGGTGAGTGTACAGTGGGTTTTTATGGGGAACCTCTGTATTTGGGTCGGGGGTGTGGCATCCTGGTCAGGAAATGGCCCTCAGGCTTCCTTCCTGCCCAGCCAGGGTCACGAGTAGTGTCTCCACCTGGGCTGGTGTGTGTGTGCTGGCCAGTAGGGCTTAGTCCTGGACTGCAGACTGGTGCTGGTCCATGGTCTGTTAGGGACCGGGGTCATAGCCGGAGGTGAGTGGCGGGCGAAGTGAGCATGACCGCCTGAGCTCTGCCTCCTCTTGGATCAGCGGCAGCATTTAGATTCTCCTAGGCGCTGGGACCCTATTGTAAACGGCATGTGAAGGGATCTCGGAGGTGCTCCTTATGAGGATCCAATGCCTGACCTGAGGTGGAACAGTTGCATTTCAAAACCACCCCTCAGAAAAATTGTCTTCCGCGATACCCATCCCTGGTGCCGAGAAGGCTGGGGTCCTTAACCATCTGGAGGGATGTACCGTGTCAGACTCACTGTGGTCGACGGGCTGTAGGCCAGGTTTCGTGAGGTCACGTGTCGGCTTGTAGGACTTTCTCTGGCAGAGGTGCGAGTGACTTCTGTTCACTGTGAGAGGCTCATCTCAGGGGCTTCATGGCCTGGGGGATGGCAGCCTGTTTGAACTGATCGAGCAATCTCACGCTACCCTTATTTTCTGAAACACCCGTGAGTGACTTTTTCACACGTTCTTTGAAGCGGCGTCATGCCCGTGCTCCTTGGTAATGAGCGAATGCTTTTGTTGACCCCTCATCCCCTTTCCTTGGGGTGTGTTCCGGACTCGGTTCTCACGCGTTCTGCTTCTACGGGAATCTCTGAAGCTGCTGAGTGTAGAAAGCACTGAGGAGGCTGTGCTCCCACCCCCGTGAGCCTTCCAGGCATCGTCCTCTCCCCTCAGCGAGGCGACGTCCATGGCACACCGAGGAGGCTGTGCTCCTGTCCCCCGTAAGCCTTCCAGGCGTCCTCCTCTCCCCTCCAGGGGGACAGGAGGAACCTTTCAAACCCTTCTTAAACTTGTTTCCATGTCTTTGTTTTAACAGATTTCTTTGCATCTTCTCCCTTATCCAGAAGTGAGGGTGTGAACGCTGAGTTATTCCCAGGAGTCAAGAAACCACACACAGCCCAAAGTGACATTTGTTTCCCCGAAATGATTTGTGTGTGTTCACCTTAAAATGCAGCTCAGTAAAACAGGTGTGTGTTTTGAGGAATGACTTGAAATTATCCTGGTAAAGATGTGACAGTTCCATTTCATCCAGTCTGTGCAGGTGTCCACAACCCCCTTCAGTGGTTGCGTGTGAGTTTATGTGACTTGGGGTTTTTTATTTATTTATTTATTTTTTATTTTTTTTGAAGAAAGAAAATCTTGTTGCTGGGGACTTCAGAGGGTGTGCTGGGATTGTGTGGGGCGGACATCGGGGGCTTCAGTGTGTGGCCTCCTTGAAAAGACGTTCAAATTCAGGCTGAGCGTCCCTACTCCAAAATGCTCTGAAACCTGAACCATTCCGAGCTCTCCCTCATATGACACTCGCAGGAAATGCTCTTCGGAGCACTTTGGATTTCAGGCTGGGGATGCTCAACCAGAAAGCGAAATACTGCAAGAGCCTTCTTGCCCCAGGAGCTTGGATGAGGACATGTGGCCTGTGCCGGGCATCCGTGGCGTGCGAGGCAGCCTGGGCTCGCTGCACTGGTTTTTGTAGGAGCCACAGAAGGGAAGAGAGGGTCAAAGTGGCCACGCCTCGCTCCTGAGAAAGGCGGAGCAGAGGGAGGTGGGCGCGGAGGGCAGCAGTGGAGTCCCCAGCGTCCGGGGCTCCTGTCCCTGGTGGAGTTGAGAGCCTCCTCTAGTTGTGGCCTCTGCCCTGTCAGCAGCCACTGAGGTCTGGAGGGAGCTGGGGGCTGAGGGGGAGGAGGAAGGGACAGGCCTGCTTCTGGAGAGGGCTGGCGTCAACCTGTGCTAGCCTCGTGTGCTACTCCTGCGTCCGGTGTGCACGGCCGTGCCTCGTGCCTCGTGCCTCGTGCCTCGTGCCTCGTGCCTCGTGCCTCGTGCCTCGTGCCTCGTGCCTCGTGCCTCGTGCCTCGTGCCTCGTGGCGCAGCGGTTCCCGGGGTGCGCAGCACTCTTGTCTTGCAGTAACGGCTTTGTCTCCAACCCTTGGAGGCAAGTTACCTTTTCCCCCTCCCCCCTCCCCCACCCCCCACCCAGTGAAAAGAGGTAGAGAATCTTACAGAAATGCATTTGCTGGAATGTCTATTTTCCGATAAATCTGAAAGTATCTCCTAGTGAGTCTCGTGTGTAGAGTAAGGACAGTTCATGCATATCTTAAAGCAGGTACATCTAGCAACGCAGAGCATCCCGGTGCTAGGATGGAGTTTCCCACTAACTCTGGGAGTGGAATCTGTAGAGCCTCGGGTGCTTGCACCATGAGGTTAGCGAGGGTGCAGGTGCACCCACAGCCCTGCCTGTGCCGCGTCCCTTCTGCTATAGAGCGTCTGCCGGGGCCTGCGTGGGTCGCCTGAGCGTTGCTGTTCCCTTTTTCACATGAGCCTTTTTATCGAATACTAGGATAAACTTGACCTCACATACTTGGTGGGGAGAGAGAGAAGTATATCTGGGACCTCTTTAATTCTATGTTGGAAAATAGATTTGGGCAAAATATTTCTGCATATGCGTGCTTGGTGGGCGTGGGGTTCCCTGCCGCACCCTGGGGCACGTTCGCACGCACATTGTGATTTAATCTTGGGTCTATGGCAACAAAACTGTAGAAGTTGGCTATGACTGACTTTCTCAGATCTAGAAACAAACATACAATTGGAATCATCATCTATTGGACTTCTTTGTAAAACCTGATTTGAGCTATCATTTTTGCTTGGTATGTTAACAGTTTCAAACTCAAATGTCACAATGAGGAATTGTTACCATTTTGTTTTCGTATCAACATATTGCTTCACCAAGTCTCTTCTCACTAATAGTTATCCTTCCTCTGAATGCGGCGTAATTGTTATAGAATTAAGAAAAAGGTTGGTTGGGCACTCTGGCTTATGCCCGTAATGTAATCGCAGCCCTTTGTGAATGAAGTTCAAACAACCACAGACAACAAACAAGGCAACACCCCATCTCTCTACAACAGAAAAATTAGCTGAGTATGGTGGTGCGTGCCTGTAGTCCTGACTATCTAAGTCAAGGTCAGGCATTATAAAGACTGCGTGAGGCTGTGATTGCTCACTGTGCTCAGTCTTGACAGAGCCAGGGCCCTGTATCTCAGAAAGAAAAATGTAAAAAAAAAAAAAAAAAAAAAAATCCAGAAATGTCATTTTCTTCTTTAATCATCCCAAAGAAATCAGTTTTCGCGTGTTAAAGGGTAACTGATAAGATTCTTTCCTTGCATTGTTCTCCTTTTCAAATATTTCCAGTATTCTGTCCACATCGTCTCTCATCATCTCGTTACAAAGGTGTCTTCGAGGTTAGTGGTGTTTCTGTGTTGCACCTTGGAGAACAGCCGGCATGGAAACCTCTTACCACCACCGTGCGCATTGTAGTCCCAATTAAAATCCTCTCAGAGACGCCTGTGCACCTTATGAAAGCAGAGACTTTGGTTGTGCTAACATGTGCATTCAGCTCATGGTTTAAGTTCATATCTGAGATGATGCTGTAGAATTCATTAATCATATGGGATCAGTAATGATGGCAGGTAATTCTGGCTGATGTCATTTAGAGGATATTTTCACTTCAAGTTACAGCTTCCTTTGTGATAGTCATTTTGGGATTCATTGAAATGTGTGCTTTATTCACAGCTCAGATTTTCATTAGACATTTCATAGCATAGGATTTTGAAAGCCGATTTGGCAAAATCTTTCACGAAATGTCTAGCGTCCAGAAGGAACAGCACTCAGAATTACTGGTAACTGTGGTCCATTTTCAGGCTGATGATAGAAGTCACTTGAACGGTCAGGGCTGCTTTGTGGGGGCGGATGATGGGGTTTGAACCTGACCCTCCTATTGCCAGCTCTGGCCCTGGCCTAGCCTTCTCTCCTCTCCACTGGGAGAAGAGAAGGTGCCAGCATCCACCTCACAGGCCATCGTGAGAACCCGGGACTAGGGGTTTGTGTTCCTCTTGCAGGTGGCGCCGCGGTCTTGGGGGCCTGGCGATATATACACACTGCAGGCTGCCAGTGTCAGGTAATCCAGTTTTCGTCAAAGGTGGGATTTGCTTTGCTCCCCTGCGGACCAGGTGCGGTGCTGCTGTTGCAGCAGGTGTGTGGATCCTCTTGGGTGGTCCTCAGGTGGACAAGGTCACCGATTCGATTCCCAGGGTTAGATGTGAGCGGGGACCATGGACCTCATGTGTTCAGAGGAAGTAAAAGCCTTGTGATTCCAGGACCGTCTATCAGAGGAATACCAAAGCCCCACTGGCTTTCACCAGCACTGTGTTGGGTGTGTATGGAAATGAGGACCGTGTGCCGCATGCCTGAGCCAGTACCCGTCTCCTCCAGGGCCATGGCCGAGCCCTCCTGATTTCTCGCTGGGTTGCCAGCCTGGGGATCTATTAAGCCCAGTGGCGCCTGCGGTCTCGGCCCCCTCCCGTGGGGACAGGAGGAGTGGCTTCCAGGGGCTGGTGATGAATGCCTGAATGAAGCCGACTTGTGACTGCAGTTCTGTCTAAGGGCCTCCCCGGAGTGTTAGATGTCAGTAAATGACACGTGTGTGTGGATCATGTGATGAGAGAAACAGTGGGGGAAACCAAAGCTTGTAGGTCTGCAGGTGCTGGACTTGTTGAGGATGTGTGCACCTGTGTGTACTTGGTGGCGTGAGGTCTGGAATGAGTGTGCACGTGTGTCACGTTTGTGCGTGTGTGGTGAGTGTATTTAGCAGGTGTGTGTGGAGTAGAGAGCGTGTTGTCGTGTGCCGTGTATGTTGGAGGGTGTGTGGGTGTGTACACGCATCACATTTGGTGAGTGTATTTGAGGGTGTGTATGGAGTGCATAGGGGCGTTTGCGTGTATAGTATCGGGTGAAGGGGTGGCATGTGTGGAGTAAGCATGCACACGTGTGTGCTGTGTGTGGGGTTTCTGCTCCTCCCTGAGCCTGCTCCTGGGCCCTGCTGTCCTGGCAGCTTTACAGTTGGGTGTGTCTTTGATTCCGGAAGATTCTGGAACCCGATTCTCGGCTGTGATCGCAAACTTGCAGCCCTGAGGACGCTGGCCCGTGGAGCCGGCACGAGGATCTGTGCTGGCCTCTCCTGGGGCTGGGCTCTCTGTCCTGGCAGGCGTGTCGATGATTGAACTGTGGGTCTGTGGCTCTGGCTGCGAGTCAGCCCTCGGTTCTGGTCCGCCTCTGTTTTTCTTGCTGAGGGCTCCGAGTGGTGCCTGGGGATGACGTTTTCACCTGGGGTTGCTTCGCCTGCTGCCCAGGTGCTGGCTGCCTGAGCCCTGCTGCCGTCCTGGGTGGACGGGGCTGGCGCGGGGACATCCTGAGCACCTGCGGGAGGCAGGTTTAGGAAGTGCCAGAGGTGAGGGGCTTCCTCCCAGGCTTGATTTTCTGGAAAGTTCTGGGCCTCATATTTTCCCTAAGGGAAGTTAGAAACTGAGTTTCTCTTTAGGGGAACGTCTTTGCAGCGTCTGTTGTTAGAATGTTCTCCAGGTGTGGAATACCCGGGACCGTGTGTGTTTGGGAACCTCCGTGTCCTGGCCAATTCAGTAGGGGGGATGGAGAGAGCCTCCCTCCTGTCAGCTTGGCCTCTGTTTCCAGCCTTGTGAGTTGTGAGGTTGGCGGCTGCTGGCATCCCAGGAGAGTCAAACACTGGGTGGCGTGGGATGGGAACGTTCGCTCTGACAAGGTCAGTGGGAAAAGCGTCACAAGCAAGCGTCGCTGTTCTCCGGGCTCCTCGAGGTCGAGCTTGTTTGGTGGTGGTGAGGGGAGCGCTACCTTGCTCCTGTTCCTCGCCATCTGAATGGTGTCCAGGGCTTGTTCCGCCGGAGAGGTGATGCGCGTAGAATGGGAGTCAGGTCGCAGGCTCCGGGGATGTTTGGAATCTGTCAACGGACTTCCTAAACACACAGGTGCTTAGTAAGAGATGTTTCTGATTGGCTAAAACATCTCAGCAGGACGTGATAGCTGGTGGTGGTTTCAAGACTACCACAATTTTCCTGTTCCTTTTCAATGCCTGTTGGATAGGGAGGATTGGCATCTTTTCTTTTCCTGTCTGCGTACTTGACACTTTGTTTATTTGTGTGCTTGGGTGTGCAGTTGACAGGATTTCGAAGCGATCTCAGCTGGGGGCTTCAGGGCAGCCTCAGTGAGCGCTGAAGGAGGCAGGAGATTTGGGGGCTACCTCCTCCACAGGACGGACACCAAGGGCCAGGAGTCAGCAATCTCCAGTGAGGTCACACAGACAGGCACACCCAGCACCCTGGCCCCTGTGCCTCTCCTTCACGTTTGTCTCTGCTCCAAGCTGCTCTCCTGGGTCATCCGCGGGGGGCGATCTCTGGCGCGATGCTTGGTTCTTTACTGCAGAAGTGGTGTCTGGCTGTGGTCAGTGTGGGCTCTCAGGACTTCCATGTTTTGGCTCCCATCAATATTGGGCAGTGTGGTGTATGTTTGTTTTGGAGTGGTAGATCCGGGTGGATTTGGCTTTGCCAACTCATTTAATACCTGTTTCTCCTGTTTCTGTATCGAATTGTTCTCTGGTTAGAAGGGGGATGACGGTGTGGTGGAACGGCTTCTGGCTGTTGAGCCCTGCTGAGAGCTGTTTGGCGTGCACACATCCGTTTGGCACAATCTCATGAGCAGCCCTGGGCAGTGCAGAAAGCGGGCCCAGGTGAGGCTGTCGGACCCAGGAGGCCCCCAGCCTGTGTGCTTTCAGCCTCTGAGCCGCCCCTCTCTGACTGCTTACCAAGCTGTAGCGATACTGCAATCTGAGCATTGAAAAGTCACCAGGGGAATGCCGTTTCAGGGATCTTACCAGCGAACCTTCTGTTAAGGTTGGATGTCGAATGACTTTGCCTTTGAATGCGGGTACCGACGGGCTCCTGGGATAACTCATTCCATAGAAACGTTTTAAAATAATGCTCCCAACTAGCTATCCTTTACATGCTTTCTACTAAGGGTGCTCTGCTCTCTGTGCGCTTTAGTGATATGCCGTGTTTGCTTTGCATGCACTTGGGTTTTCAGAAGAAAACCGTGTTTGCAGGTACACTTGGGGCACGACATTCTTCTTCCTGTTAGTGTAGATGCTCCATGAGAGCAGATAATGCTCATGCATTTCTGTGTGTTTTGTGGGGAATAAAAGTAGCCGCTGGCTCTAGCAAACCTAGAAGATGCCCAAAAGGTGATACACGTGAAAATAATGCAGCCTGCCATAAACCGCCTTGTATTATGTGTGGCAAAGTGCTCATTAATGCGCTGTCTATGGAGAAGAAAATGAGTCTTCCTATTTTCCCAGAGGTAACACTTGAATAGACTTCAGAAGTTGTCTTATCTGCAAACATTTACCCTCCTTCCATTGTTTTGAGACGTTGTCATAGGAACTCACACATGTCATTGTTTTCTCAGTTAGAACCTCCAGGGTTTGTCATAGTCCCTGTGTCATCTCGCAGCGTCTGGCTCCACTTGATTTAAAGCAGGAAGAGGCCAGCCACGTGGCCTCGCTGGTGCTTCCCAAGCACGGGGTCTCATGAGGCAGGAGCACTTGGTTAGAGAACGTGCTATTCTTCTGATAAAAACCCTGTGAGTGCCGTTAAGCTAGTCTCCTGCGACGTTTCTTCAACCTACATACACCAATTTCTGTTAGTTTTAGATTTATTTATATTTTCGAGACCGGGGTCTTTGGCTCTGTCACCCAGGCTGTGCGGTGGCGTGATCCTGGCTCAGGCGATCTCCCCTCAGTCACCCGAGCAGCTGGGACCTGGAGCACGCACCAGTAACATGCCTGGCTAATTTTCTTTTTCTTTGTTGCAGGGATGGGGGTCTCGTTGTGTTATGGAGTGTTGGCTCTGTTTTCTGGTGAGTGTACAGTGGGTTTTATGGGGAACCTCTGTATTTGGGTCAGGGTGTGGCATCCTGGTCAGGAAATGGCCCTCAGGCTTCCTTCCTGCCCCAGCCAAGTCCACGAAGTAGTGTCTCCACCTGGGCTGGTGTGTGTGTGCTGGCAGTAGGGCTTAGTCTGGACTGCAGACTGGTGCTGGTCCATGGTCTGTTAGGGACCGCGGGGTCATAGCCGGAGGTGAGTGGCTGGCGAAGTGAGCATGACCGCCTGGCTCTGCCTCACCTCTTGGATCAGCGGCAGCATTTAGATTCTCTAGGCGCTGGGACCCTATTGTAAGCGGCATGTGAAGGGATCTCGGAGGTGCTCCTTATGAGATCAATGCCTGACCTGAGGGTGGAACAGTTGCATTTCAAAACCACCCCTCAGAAAAATTGTCTTCCACGATACCCATCCCTGAGTGTCGAGAAGGCTGGGAGTCCTTAACCATCTGGAGAGGGATGTACCGTGTCAGACTCACTGTGGTCGACGGGCTGTAGGCCAGGTTTCGTGAGGTCACGTGTCGGCTTGTAGGACTTTCTCTGGCAGAGGTGCGAGTGACTTCTGTTCACTGTGAGAGGCTCATCAGGGGCTTCATGGCCTGGGGGATGGCAGCCTGTTTGAACTGATCGAGCAATCTCCACGCTACCCTTATTTTTCTGAAACACCCGTAGTGACTTTTTCACGTTCTTTGAAGCGAGCGTCATGCCCGTGCTCATGTTAATGACGGAATGCTTTTTGTTGACCCCTCATCCCCTTTCTTTGCAGGGTGTGTTCCGGTCTCAGTTCTCACGCGTTCTGCTTCTACGGGAATCTCTGAAGCTGCTGAGTGTAGAAAGCACTGAGGAGGCTGTGCTCCCCCCCCCGTGAGCCTTTGAGCATCGTCCTCCCCTCAGCGAGCGCGTCCATGGCACACCGGAGGCTGTGCTCTGTCCCGTAAGCCTTCCAGGCGTCCTCCTCTCCCCCTCCCGGGGGGACAGGAGAACCTTTCAAACCCTCTTAAACTTGTTTCCATGTCTTTGTTTTAACAGATTTCTTTGCATCTCTCCCTTATCCAGAAGTGAGGTGTGAGCGTGGGTTATTCCCAGGAGTCAAACCACACACAGCCCAAAGTGACATTTGTTTCCCCGAAATGATTTGTGTGTGTTCACCTTAAAATGCAGCTCAGTAAAACAGGTGTGTGTTTGAGGAATGACTTGAAATTACCCTGGTAAAGATGTGACAGTTCCATTTCATCCAGTCTGTGCAGGTGTCACAACCCCCTTCAGTGGTTGCGTGTGAGTTTATGTGACTTGGGGTTATTTATTTATTGATTTATTTACCTTTTATTATTATTTTTTTTTTTGAAGAACAAAAATCTTGTTGCTGGGGACTTCAGAGGGTGTGCTGGGATTGTGTGGGAGCCCGGACCTTCGGGGGGCTTCAGTGTGGCCTCCTTGAAGAGCGTTCAAATTCAGGCTGGCTCCCTACTCAAAATGCTCTGAAACCTGAGCCATTCCGAGCTCTCCCTCATATGACACTGCAGAAATGCTCTTCGGAGCACTTGGATTTCGGGCTGGGGATGCTCAGCAGAAGCGAAATGCTGCCAGAGCTAACACCCCAGGAGCGCAGATGAACATGTAGCCTGTCACGGGCATCAGTAGCGTCTGAGAGCAGCCTGAGCTCCGCTGCACTAGTTTTGTAGGAGCCACAGAAGGGAAGAGAGGTCAAAATGGCCACGCCTCGCTCCTGAAAGACGGAGCAGAGGGAGGTGGGCACGGAGGGCAGCAGTGGAGTCCCAGCGTCGGGCTCCTGTCCCTGGTGGAGTTGGAAGCCTCCTCTAGTTGTAAGCTCCTGCCCTGTCAGCAGCCACTGGTCTGGAGAGGGAGCTGGAGGCTGAGGGAGGAGAGGACAGGCCTGCTTCTGGAGGGGGCTGGCGTCAACCTGTGCTAGCCTCGTGTGCTACTCCTGCGTCCGGTGTGCACGGCCGTGCCTCGTGCCTCGTGCCTCGTGCCTCGTGCCTCGTGCCTCGTGCCTGCGTGCCTGAGTACCTCGTGCCTCGTGCCTCGTGCCTCGTGCCTCGTGGCGCAGCGGTTCAGGGTGCGCCTCTTGTCTTGCAGTAACGGCTTTGTCTCCAACCCTTGAGGCAAAGTTACCTTTTCCCCTCCCCCTCCCCACCCCCACCCAGTGAAAAGAGGTAGAGAATCTTACAGAAATGCATTTGCTGGAATGTCTATTTTCCAATAAATCTGAAAGTATCTCTAGGTGGAAGTCTCGTGTGTAAATGAGACAGTTCATGCATATCTTAAAGCAAGTACATCTAGCAACGGAGAAACATCCAGTACTAGAGATGGAGGTTTCCACTAACTCTGGGAGTGGAAATCTGTAGAGCATAAGTTGACCCTTATTGGGGTTGGCGAGGTGCGGGTGCTTTGGCCTGCTGTGCGCGTCCTTCTGCTATGGGCTGCCACGGGGCCTGCGGTCGCCTGGCGTTGCTGTTCCCTTTTCACGTGAGCCTTTTGCTCGAATACTAGGATAAACTTGACCTCACATACTTGGTGGGGAGAGAAAAGTATGGACCTCTTTAATTCTATGTTGGAAAATAGATTTGGGCAAAATATTTCTGCATATGCGTGCTTGGTGGGCGTGGGGTTCCTGCGCACCTGGGAACACTGATTAAGCCCTTTGTGTGATTTAATCTTGGGTCTATGGCAACAAAACTGTAGAAGTTGGCTATGACTGACTTTCTCAGATCTAGAAACAAACATGGTGGAATCATCATCTATTGGACTTTAACATAAAACCTGATTTGAGCTATCATTTTTGCTTGGTATGTTAACAGTTTCAAACTCAAATGTCACAATGAGGAATTGTTACCATTTTGTTTTCGTATCAACATATTGCTTCGCCAAGTTTCTTCTCACTAATAGTTATCCTTCCTCTGAATGCGGCGTAATTGTTATAGAATTAAGAAAAAGGTTGGTTGGGCACGCTGGCTTATGCCTGTAATGTAATCGCAGCCCTTTGTGAGGCCAAGGAGTTCAAGAGCAGCCTGGACAACAGAGCAAGACACCCCATCTCTCTCACAACAGAAAAATTAGCTGAGTATGGTGGTGCGTGCCTGTGGTCCCTGCTACTCTGAAGTCCGAGTGGGAAAAACTACCAAAACTCTGATGAAGCTGTAATTGCTCCACTGTACTCCAGTCTTGGTGACAGAGCCAAGACCCTGTCTCAGAAAAAAAAATGTAAAAAAAAAAAAAAAAAAAAAAAAAAATCCAGAAATGTCATTTTCTTCTTTAATCATCCCAAAGAAGAAATCGGTTTCACAAGGCGTGTTGGGGTAGCTGATAGATTGTTTAAGCGGCATTGTTTCTCCTTTTCAAATATTTCCAGTATTCTGTCCACATCGTCTCTCATCATCTCGTTACAAGGTGTCTTCCCGAGGTTAGTGGTGTTCTGTGTTGCACCTTGGAGAACAGCCGGCATGAAACCTCACCCACCACCACCGTGCGCATTGTAGTCCCAATTAAAATCACCTCTCAGAGAGACGCCTGTGTAGCGCGACAGAACTTTGGTTGTGCTAACATGTGCATTCAGCTCATAGTTTTAAAAGTTCATATTATCTGAAGGATGATGCTGTAGAATTCATTAATCATATGGGATCAGTAATGATGGCAGGTAATTCTGGCTGATGTCATTTAGAGGATATTTTCACTTCAAGTTATTTTTATCGAATACTAGGATAAACTTGACCTCACATACTTGGTGTGGAGAGAGAAAAGTATATCTGGGACCTCTTTAATTCTACGTTGGAAAATAGATTTGGGCAAAATATTTCTGCATATGGGTGCTTGGTGGGCGTGGGGTTCCCTGCCGCACCCTGGGGCACGTTCGCACGCACATTGTGATTTAATCTTGGGTCTATGGCAACAAAACTGTAGAAGTTGGCTATGACTGACTTTCTCAGATCTAGAAACAAACATACAATTGGAATCATCATCTATTGGACTTCTTTGTAAAACCTGATTTGAGCTATCATTTTTGCTTGGTATGTTAACAGTTTCAAACTCAAATGTCACAATGAGGAATTGTTACCATTTTGTTTTCGTATCAACCTATTGCTTCGCCAAGTTTCTTCTCACTAATAGTCATCCTTCCTCTGAACGCGGCGTAATTGTTATAGAATTAAGAAAAAGGTTGGTTGGGCACGCTGGCTTATGCCTGTAATGTAATCGCAGCACTTTGTGAGGCCAAGGAGTTCAAGACCAGCCTGGACAACAGAGCAAGACACCCCATCTCTCTCACAACAGAAAAATTGGCTGAGTATGGTGGTGCGTGCCTGTGGTCCCTGCTACTCTGGAGTCCGAGGTGGGAAGAACACTGAAGGCTACGGTGAGCTGTGATTGCTCCACTGTACTCCAGTCTTGGTGACAGAGCCAAGACCCTGTCTCAGAAAGAAAAATGTTAAAAATCCAGAAATGTCGTTTTCTTCTTTAATCATCCCAAAAGAGAAACCGGTTTTTTCTAAGCGTGTTAAAGGGTAACTGATAAGGTTCTTTCCTTGCATTGTTTCTCCTTTTCAAATATTTACAGTATTCTGTCCACATCGTCTCTCATCATCTCGTTACAAAGGTGTCTAAGGCATTGCTACGCTTTATTTTACAAAAATATTATTGAGAAAAAAATTTGACAGCTAAGGAACAGTCTTCAACCAATTTCTTCCCTAATTTCTATCACCAGAAAAATTTGTCCTGTTAATTCCAGAATTGACTTTTGGAAAGTTCCTGTAAGGAGAGCAGAGGTATTGGTGGTTGAATGGTGACTTGAATTTAGGTGAAGATCGTTAAATACTTGGTAGTCATGTTTGTCTTGGTGGTTTTTGCAATTTTATATTAAATTTAGAACTGTGAGTCAAACCAAATGTGTTTCTTTTTGTTTTTGTGATACTCCTTTGTATGACTATACTGGTAAAGAATGATAAAATGTGTGTAGGGTATTTTTTCTATGTAGATATTAGGATTTTTAGGGGAACAAATTAATCATTCTTCTAATAGACATTGTGCTGTGTAAGGTCCTTTGTATATTGAATCACTATGATGCATCACCAAAGTATGTTTTGCATAAGATCTTTTACATGCTGACTTGTGTTATGCAAAATCCTTCATCCTCTAAGAAGACTAATCAATGGGTTGGAGGAAAGGTTTAATCCCCCATTAGGTCTATTCCAAATGCCCAGAATTGAATGCAAGGACGAATTTTTTTTTCAAGTGGGGTGTGTGTGTGGTGGACTCCTTTTAGGTCATGGGAGTGGGGGAGGTAAAGCAAAGATCAGATTTGCTGATGAATATTTGTGCATATTCTAGTGGAGAAGTCATATGACTTGACTGCACCTGCATACTGATTTTGGTTTCATTAGTGTCCGTAGCCATACCTCAGCCACCTGTGGGACCCACCATGAGGGGCTGTGGTGAGGGTTACTACAGAGTCATGCAGGCTCCAGTGAATGGCACAAACGGCCTTGTGGGCCTACTGGCTTTGTTTGAACCTTGTAGATTGTTAAACTAATTTAGTTAAACATTTTGGAGGATTATAAATCGTGATTCTTGTCTAAGAAGAGGTTTCTGTTGTCTCTGAAGACAGGAGCCACAATACAGATGGTCCCTAGCTCACAATGGTTACATTTGTGATTGTTTTTCAACCTTGTGATGGTGTGAACTAGTCACACTGCATGTTCGAATCGAGATGGGCTGCCTCTGGATGAACCCGCTTGTAAGTTGAAACTATTATGTCAAATGCACTTTCTATTTAGGGATATTTCAGCTTACGCTATTTATTGGAACAGTTTCATCCCCATGGTAACTCAGGAGCATATGTGCTCGTAAAAGTAGAGGCGATCTCATACATACCACGAGATATAATGTCTCTGATGTTATAGAGATATGATGAAAACAATCAAGTGGGACTTGGAAGCCTTGGAGGGGGGGACTCACATGGGCGGCTCCTGAATGCAAACCGTGAGCACCACTTGCTTCTGGGTGTGTGATGTCTGTGCCTTCTGTTTAGCCCAGTGGGTTATCGGCTGCTCTCCAGGGCAGAGAGGTCCAGCTCCTGTGTGTAGGTGTTTGAGCTGTCTTAAGAGGCTAGCTCAATTCTCACTGGTGTCTTCAGGGCTTTAGGCCTTCTGAACCAGCAGGAGGAAGGATGACTTTTGTAGAGCTTTGGAAATCTCAACTTAATCTAGGCCATCCTCTTGGCAGGAGAGAGCCCCACTGGAGGTGAGCAGGTACCGTGCAGGCTCGTGCTGGGCCCAGGCATGTACGGGGAGGTTATGAGGGCCACAGGATACAGATCGATCTTGGTTCACATCTGGTGGTGATGGCCACGCAGCATTTGACAGTGCTACGGAGTGGGGACTTGGGTTTTGGGTGTACGGGCCCTAGTTGCTTAGGTTGCTTTTAAGACTCTCATTCAGACCCCAGCCTGAGTCACCGTGACAGGACTCCAGCTTCACACGCCACACGGAAGCCGTGGGCGTTGACACTGATGCCTACCAGATGTCAGGTGTGTGTATCTTCCATGGTCTTGGGATGAGTCAGTTTTGAGAGGTTATAGTAAACATTTTAAGAGGGGTTTTGGATTTTTTGTTTGCAGGGAGTGTTTGAGCAGTGAGATCCCCTTCCCAACCAATGAGACTTGGCCCCGGGGTGGAGTGGGGCTGCAGCCGGTCTTGCAGGAGCTGGAAGTGGGTGTCAGTGTCTCGCAGCGGACTTTTCAAATGGGTCCAGCAGGATGCATCTGTGGAAAGTGTGTCACCTAATGCAGGGCTGCGACAACAGGGCCAAAGGCTACCGCGGACTCTGTTTCTGCTCTCTTGAGAGAGTCTCTGCACAGGTTTCTGTTTTTGTCTGTTTGGGAGGATGCCCCCTTTCTTGGCCTTCCCTAGCCTTCTGAGCTTCCTTCCTGAGTATGATAAAGCCCTGAGAAGGCATTTTTCTCGCATAATTACGTTATCTTGGTGGCTGGATAAATGACCTGCAATGTGGGTGACCTGTAGCTCTGAGAGGGTGTTCAATATCCAAGAGAGGAGGGAAGAAAATGTTCAGGCGGAGTCAGATCATCTGTTCTCTGCTTCACACTGGGGCCCTGGATTGCTGACAGTCTTCACACTCCATCCAAAATGGGGAAAATAAAGTTTCACGTATTTTCTTTCAGCTGAGAGCTAGCTCCATCACAGTCTTGTGTGAAAATAGTTTGTATGTTTGGTGCGAAGGGCGGCGTCAGGTGACCTTATTCATGTGATCAGAGGGGAGAAGTAAAGCTTCCTTGTAATTCCAGGACCGCTTTATCCCAGGAATGCTGGGTGCCCCACTGGCTTCACTCAGCTGTCGAGGTGACGCCGCATGGAAATGAGGACCCGCGGTGCCGCATACCTGAGCCAGTACCCGTCTCCTCCAGGGCCGTGGGGTCGAGTTCTCCTGATTTCGCTGGGTTGCCAGGCCTGGGGATCCCAGGAGCCCAGCGACGCCTGGGCGGTCTCGGGTCTCTCTTCCGTGGGGACAGGGAGAGGTGGCTTCCGGGGCTGGTGATGAATGCCTGAATGAAGCCGACTTGTGACTGCAGTTCTGTCTAAGGGCCTCCCTGGGTGTTAGATGTCAGTAAATGACACGTGTGTGTGTGGATCTCATGTGATGAGAGAAACAGTGGGGGAAACCAAAGCTTGTGGAGCCTGCAGGTGCTGACTTGGGGATGTGTGCACCTGTGTACTTGGTGAGGGGCGTGAGGTCTGGAAATGAGTGCACGTGTGTCACGTTTGTGCGTGTGTGGTGAGTGTATTTAGCAGGTGTGTGGAGTGAGCGTGTTCATGCGTGTGTCAAGTGCTGGAGGGTGTGTGAGTGTGTACACGCATCACATTTGGTGAGTGTATTTGAGGTGTGTAAGGAGTGCATAGAGGCGTTTGCGTGTATAGCACGGTGAAGGGGTGGCATGTGTGGAGTAAGTATGTACACACGTAGGTGCGTGGGTTTCTACCTGCTC